GATCTATGGCGTCCTGCGGTTGGATCTATGGCGTCCTGTGGTTGGATCTATGGCGTCCTGCGGTTGGATCTATGGCGTCCTGCGGTTGGATCTATGGCGTCCTGCGGTTGGATCTATGGCCTCCTGTGGTTGGATCTATGGCGTCCTGCGGTTGGATCTATGGCGTCCCGGGGCCGGTCAGTCGGATCCAGTCAGATGAAGGAAGGATGAAGGTCTTACCTCCAGGATCTTCTCCCTCTGTGACTGCAGCTCCTCAGAATGGCGGCTGGACAGAGAGCTGCTGTGATTGGTCCATTCTGAGCGCAGCTTCTCCAGCTCTTTGGTCTTCTCTGACAGCGTCTGGAACAGAACACATCATCATCATCATCATCATCATCATCATCATCATGTACTGGCCCTTTAAGAGCCTACGCTCATTTCACTCAACTTTACAAAGAATGGCACTAAGTGTTGGTTCAGAAGTGAGGAAGCAGGGGGGGTGTTTTGGTTGATCAGGTGACCAGGGGTGCCCTGAACGCCCCGCCCCCTGGAGGAGCTAGGAGCTGGTACCTGTGGGGGGAGGTGATGGCCTAGTGTTAGACACTGCAGGGTTCCATCCCCACAGACTCCCACTCTGGGTCCCTGAGCAAGACCCTGAACCCCAGCAGTGGATGGAGGTCCATCTCCAGGCCTCCACCCACTGTGCATGGGGCCTGGTGATGGAGGACCTTCCTGCTTGGGGCGTAACGGGCTGAACCAGAACCTTCTAGAGGCCTCATGGCGAAGACGATGGATCAATACGCTTCTCTGCTTCAGTCACCAACATGGAGAACTTAGTGCAGATCAGTGACACACATTTAACAGGTTCTGCATCAGATGGTCCTCTATGAAAGGATGGAGGGAAAGTGGGCGGGGCCAGTGGTGGAGAAGCAGTCAGACTCACCTTTAGACCTCACCAGCCTGATGGCGTCTTCCCTGCTGACCTGAAACCTGAACTGACCAGCTAACATCTTCACCTCTAACAGGCCTGCTCCTCCTCATCATCATCATCATCATCATTTAGTCCCTCTGCAGGAGGACAGAAATCCTCCTCATATCCAGGAGGAGCATCTCTCCTGATTGGAGGGTTTTCTGAGAACCACCTCATGACCTCATTCCTTTAGCAACTTTTTTTATATCTTAACTTTTCCTTCCTTCCTTCCTTCCTTCCTTCCTTCCTTCCTTCCTTCCTTCCTTCCTTCCTTCCTTCCTTCCTTC